AATGAACAATCAGAACAATAAGAAGAAAAAAGGATTCTTCCCCTCCCCCCAAAAAAGGAGGACAGCATAAACAGCCTCTGGGACCACTTCAAGCATTCCAACATTTGTATCACAGGGGTGTCAGAAAGAGTAGAGAAAGAGCAAGGAATTGAAAGTCTGTTTGAAAAAATAATAAAAGAAAGCTTCCCTGATTTGGAAGGAAATGGACATGCAAGTCCAGGAAGCATAGAGAGTCCCAAAGAAGATGGCTGCAAAGAGGCCCACTCCAAGACACATCATAATTAAAATGCCAAAGGTTAAACATCAAGAAAGAATCTTAAAAGCAGCAAGAGAAAAGCAGATAATTACCTAAACAGGAGTTCAAACAAGACTGTCAGCTGATTTCTCAAAAGAAACTTTGCTGGCTAGAAGGGACTGGCAAGAAATATTCAGAATAATGCAAAGCAGGGACCACAGCCAAGACTGCTCTACCCAGCAAAGACACTTAGAATTGAAGGGCAGATAAAGAGCTTCCCAGACATGAAAAAAGAAAATGAGCTCATCATCACAAAACCACTATTATATGAAATGTTAAAGGGCATTCTTTCAGAAAAGAAGATCAAAACTATGAACAAAGGAATGGCGATAAATATATACCTGTCAACAATTAAATCTAAAAAACAAACTAAGCAAACAAGAACAGAGACAGAATCATGGATATGGAGTGTTTTGATGGTTGCCAGATGGGAAGGAGGTATGGAAGAATGGGTGAAGAGGTGAGGGGATTAAGAGTACAAATAGGTAGTTACAGAATTGCCATGAGGATGGAAAGTGCAGTATAAGAAGTGAAGTAGCCAAAGAACTTACATGCATGATCCATGGACATGAACTATGGCTGTCAGGATTACCTGAGGGAACGGGGGGTACTTAGTACAGGGAGGGCAAAAAGGGGAAAGCTGGGACAACTGTAATCGCATAATCAATAAAATATTAAAAAAAAAACCCTATTATAATGTTTGTTATTTACCCTAAAATGTTTCAGCAAAACCAGTATATTATTGTATGGGTTAGTTCATACTTGAACTCTAAATACAGTCCATTTCTCTAATCAAGGGGTAATAGCACCATATATACTAAAGAGCAATACAGCTTTATTTGTTGAAATTAAAGGTATTTAAAACAAGTGGATTTGCCTAAACATATTTTAATCACTCCCAACCCTTGCATCAACAAAAAATGAGAATTTAGGGAGGTCTATATTTTTACACTTAGGAATGGCATCTGGGGTTTGATCTGTAACCAGTTTGGTGTCAGCCATTACTATAGGAACATTTCTGATTGTCCAATGCAAGAAGGCACAGAATTCTGTCTCTGGAATGTGGTTGTGTATGTCTGAGTGGACCTTTTATTTAAGGTGCAGAGAACCTAAAAGGACAGACAACTGGGATTTTCTTGAGCTTACTGAATAAGGCATATAAATTGTTTTACATCTGCTTTGCTAATGCATATCTAGTCATGCTAGATTATAGTCTGATACTTGCTTTTATTAACTTCTACCACCTGCCTATCAAAGAGAACTTAAAAACTAACTTAGGTCAATTTACAACCACCATTACTATTCCTTGTTGCTATTATCTCATGACCTCCCAGTAACTACCTCTCATTCATTAACAATTTAAGTCTACGTTTTTTGAGTATTTACTATGTATTAGGGCTTTATCATTTCATGTAATTCACTTAGCTCCAACCCTTCTCATTTTTTTACTCTAATACTATAACAATTTTCTGGCCCCATTGGAACCCTCAATTTGTTGCTCTTTGTAGCAAGGGGAAGAGTCAGCTATCATGCATGCATGGTGAATCTTTATTTTAATTCTCGTTTTATTTTAGTTTAGTTTAGTTTATTTATTTAGAGTTAGTTTATTTAAGAATAAACTAAACTAATAGACAAATAGTTGTCTTACATAGCTTTGTTCTTGCTCTTTATTGGTAGCACTGAATTTTTTTTAAATTCTACCAAATTTTCTTAAATTATTAATTTAATATTTTGTATAGGTAATATATTTACATCCAGAAATAAAAAAAATATGATACTGAATACACACTTGGCAGTCTTGTTTTCATTGGTCATTCACATATTCTTTCACCGTTTCTTTAGGCAAGTATAAATACATACTGTAATTCCCCCCCTTTTCTCACACAGAAGGCATAATATTATGTATACTGATCTGGACCTTGGTTTTATACTTAAAAAGCCCCCGAAATCAGGGGCAGATCCAAGCTTTATGAAAGTATAAAATCTACAATTTGGGGGCCCTCATAAAGAAAATATAATGTAGGATTACTAATATAAAATTATATTTAGGAGTCATAATAGGGAGGGCTCCTGAAACTTAAATCTCTTTAGCTTCATGGTAAATCTGCCTCTGCTAGAAATAGTTCCTTATCAGTATGGACTGATATTTTTTTCAATACTTATTTTTTTCAGTAATAAAGAACTATTATTATTTTATAGTTGCATAATATTCCATTGGGTGGATGTGTATGTCATTTGCTTTTGCTAAAACACTTGATCTTTTGTACTTAGACCCTTTGATAGCACCCTTTTTGTGGCAAATAATGTTCACGAGTGGTGACTGCTTCTCTGAGGCATTTAACACAAATGACCACATCCTCTTTCCTAAAATGACCTTCTCTTTTGCTTTTGTATACATTATATTCTTTGCTTGCTTTTGATTCTCATATGCTTTCTTGGTATCTATTTCTCAAAATCCATTTTTAATTTTTCTTGCTCTACCAACAGTAAGCACTAGTGTGCGTAAATGTTTTATTTTAGGCCCTATCTTCAGTCTTTGGTCTATACTCTGTTACTTAGCTTATCTTTCCTATGGCTTCATTTATCAATTATATATCTACTCATTAGTGACTATTAAATATACATTTCTATTGCATATCTTTTTCTTAAATTTCAGACCCATATTTCTAGTTGCAGACCCATATTTCTAGTCGCTGATTTCTCCAGTTGGATGAGTCATGGGAGGCTCAAATTTAATGCACTTAAAACTTAATGAATAATCTTTCACGTGTCTAACCCAATTCTCCCATACTTATAAACTTGATTAACATTATTAGCATCCACCAAAATAATTAAGTCATTCTAAAACTACTTGCTGAGTGCTAAAAATGTGTGAGGCTCTGTTCTAAGTACTAGATGCACTGTTCTAGCCTTTCTCCAATTGCTCTCTGACAATTAGTACTGCATCCTATTTCCTGAATATACTACCTCTTATCATCATATACAGTGAAGTGCTTTAATTTAGCAGTTTAACACCTCTCACCTCAAATACTTAAATAATCTCCTACTACTCTACCTACTTTAATATGTCTCTACTTCAATCCATCTTCTATGTGGTAAGTATAATGATCTTTCTAACAAATCTAATTAGGGCAGAGACCACTAGTTCCCTACCTAATATCAAATTCCTTTCTTCTTTGGCAACAGACTCTATATTGTTATGGGTGGTGATTTAACCACATAAACATTTTTTTCAGTATTTATTGCACATCGAGTTGTCAATTAGATATAAACAGATATATAAACAATTTAAAGGTAGCTCAGAGGTACAGCCTTTTGTCCTTTACATTTCTTCCTTATTCCTTGGCTACAACATGGACATGATGGCTAGAGCTCTAGCAGCTACCATGTGACAATGAGGGTGAAGATATAAACCACATACTAAGGATGGTTGTGCTGAGGGAGAGAAGTAGTTTGGGTTACCAGTGACACTGCATAATCATCAAAATGGCTTTTGACCGCCTGCTTCAGTGTTTCATATTGTACAAGAGAAAAGTAAGCTCCCATTATATTTAAGCTATTATTATTTTTAGTAGTAATACTAGCTGCCCTTACTGACAGTACTATCTCTTGCTGATACAATAAACATTCCAGTTAAAAAATGTTTGGTTGATTGCATTTTGGATAAAGATGAAATCCCTAGCATGGCATACAATGCTCTTTGAGAATTGGTTGCAATTTATTTTTCTAGCCTCAAATCCACTTTTCTTCCTTTTTCCCCATATTATGCTTGAGATATACTGAAATACATAATTTATTTGCAAAATCTACAGTATTCCTTCTGTCTGGGAAGTTTTTTTTTCTTTCTCTTTGCTTGGCAAAATTCTCATTCTTCAAGACTGAAATTAAGTTATTTTTCCAGGGATGACGCCCTTGATGTTCCTGTATAGGTTTCATGTTCATTCTTCTGTGTTCTCACAGTACTTTATACATTCTGCTACCACTATATTTACCACTATATTTATTGACATTGTTTATTTTATTCTCATTTCCAGAATAAGCTGTGAAATCTTTAATGGTAGAGTACAATTAGATTTCTCTGTATCTCCACCTAGCCCAAGGCTAAGTACAAAATGTATTTGTTGAATAAATAAAGGTACTGCCTGTCCCTTTTCTGTTTGAAGCTTTGACATTTGTTACTTCTGTGTTACTGTTTTAAGTAATTATAAAATGTAGATGGATAGCAGAGAATCAACGATAATCATATTTAAATTTTTAACTGGTTTAGCATCTTAGATTGCTGCATTATATCACTCTATAGACTTTCCTTTTATTTTGCCAGTCTCTCAAATATGAATTTGAAGCAAAATGTAAGTGCCAGAATAAACGTGACACTAATTTACTGAACATAAATGTTAAATTTTCCCTTTATGAAGTTACATACTAGATCATTTTAAAAAGACTAAAACATTGTAAGCCAGTATGAAGTAGAATCAAACTTGTGAAAATTCAAAATTTACTTTTAGAGCCAACAAAATATTATCAAATCTACCGTAAATTAAATTGCAGTTTTTCACTTGGTTAAAGTCCTATTATTTAGAAAGGGATACTAGTCTTTTTAGTTTGAATTTCTACTTTGTTTCTTAATTTATTATTTTATTGTCTACTCAAATAAAATGTGATTGTAACTTTCATTCTTCTCATATTGTTCTGGAAATTAAGATACCTGCTCTCCTCCGCTGTGAAAGAGGAATATGGGCACGCTGAAATTTTTCAGTAACTTCTTCAAACTTCTGTTTTCTTTGTTGAAGTATTTGTTCTCTAATTTGATGTTCTCTTTCTTCTTGTTCTTTTCTTTTATCTTCAAAAGCTCTATATTTAAAACATAAAGAAGATAACAGAATTAGGCAATAAGTTTTAAAAATCTCAACACAGAAAATAGTTTCAAAACAATGCATTATATATTTTAAAAATTACTTACTTAGAAACAACACATTTTATTTTTATTTATTTTAATCCTCACCTGAGGATATGTTTATTGATTGTAGAGGGAGAGAGAAAGAGAGAGAAACATTGATGCGACAGAAACATTGACTGACTGCTTCCTCTATGGGCTCTGATCGGGGAATCGAACACACAGGCTTTTGGTGTATTGGACAGCACTCCAACCAACTAAGCCATGTGGCCACAATGAAACAACACATTTTAAATTTTAAAAAGTCCTTGGCAAAAAAAATTTAAATGTTTTTTAAGTGGTAATTTCAGAACTTTATCCAGGTCAAGGGAAAGTCTCTGAAATGAGGCTCTTTCTAATTTCCCATTTTCCAAGCCCTGCTGTGGAAAAATTCTTTTCTAAAAAGCTATCTTATTTTCTGTAATGAAGAACTAATTCACTGGTGAAAGAAGCAGTCTTGCAAATTATGGGGCAGTCAAGGAGATATTGTATATTTTTCTTTTAGACCAAAAATTTAAAATTGGCCGTCATGTTAAGTCTGGACTATGCTAAAAATCCAAACAATTTACATAAAAACCTTGATTTCCAACCTCATTTAAAAATGGGAAGATTTGACAACCCTGGACACTTTTTCACTTATGACTATAAACACCTGTTGTAATCCTTACCATTCCCTACTTTTCTTAACATTCCCATTTCATTTATTTCTGATTGTCCCTAGGCACTTGAGTATATGTTATCTAGTTTAAACTAGTTTAAACTGTTTCAAAGAATTGATTTCATCTATGGAAAATATGTGTGTTTCAGTAATTATCTGCTGGACAATTAGAAAAATAAAAAAGCAAGCCTGCAACTTACTGGTGGAAAAATCTCCAAGTGATCTCCTTAGAATGTATGGTGTTGGGGGGTAGTTGGTAAGAACTCTTTAAGATTTTTAGTGTCATGGGTTATGATTAACTATTTTTCCAAAGACATCGACTGGATGGGGCACTATTCCAGTCTAAATAACTCAGATTTGGAGACCTATACTTCCAGGCAGTAGGGCTATAGATTTTCAAGTGATGTAACTCCTGTGGTAAGTAGGAGGTAGTAATGTAGTGCCATCGGTGGAAGAAGATTTTTACCTCCTCAAACAAACTCCTTCAAGAATCCCCCCATGTCAAGACAAAGAAGCCTACTTTTACCACTTGATTCAACATAGATTCCACATAAACTCTGTTAGAATTAATAAACAAATTCAGCAGAATACAAAATAAACACACAATAATCAGCTGTGTTTCTGTGTACTAATAACAATCTGAAAAGGAAATTTTTCAAGTATATTTTATTGATTATGCTATTACAGTTGTCCCAGTTTTTTCCCCTTTTGCTCTCTCTGCCCGGGTACCCCACTTCCTTCCAGCAATCCTTCCCACCTTAGTTCATGTCCATGGGTTGTGCATGTAAGTCCTTTGGCTTCTCCGTGGCCATGCTGTTCTTAACACCTGCCTGTCTATTTTGTATCTACCAATTATGCTTCTAAATCACTATAGCTTTTCTACCATTCTCCCCTTTCCCCTTCCCAGCTGATAACCCTCCAAATGATCTCCAAATCTATGATTATATTCCTGTTCTAGTTGTTTTGCTTAATTTGTTTTTGTTTTTTAGATTCAGTTGTTGATAGTTGTGAGTTTGTTGCCATTTTAATGTTCATAGTTTTGATCTTTTTCTTAAATAAGACCCTTTAACATTTCATATAATAAGGACTTAGTGATTATGAACTTCTTTAGCTTTATCTTGTCTGGGAAGCACTTTATGTGCCCTTCAATTCTAAATGATAGCTACACTGGCTAGAGTAATCTTGGTTGTAGGTCCTTGCTTTTCATTACTGTGAATACTTCTTGCCAGCCCCTTCTTGCCTGCAAAGTTTCTTTTGAGAAATCAGTTGATAGTCTTATGGGAACTCCTTGGTAGGTAATTCTCTGCCTTTCTCTTGCTGCTTTTATGCCACGCTATGTCCTCTCTGCCTTGGCACCCCGTCTCCACCCCTCCTACCCATCTGGTTGAATATAGCTTCTTTAAATCCTTGGTAGTTGAACTGTATGGTTCAATTTTCTGGCAGTTCCAGGTGTTTTTCATCTTGAAATTGGTTGTGATCCTTCTTATGGTTTGTTTAAGGAGGCAAAGCATGTCTACCTCACCTCCATCTTGACCGGAAGTGGAAAGGAAATTTTTAAAGAATTCCATTTATAATAGTATTAAAGAGAATAAAATACTTAGGAACAAACTTAACCAAGGAGGTAAAAGACTTGTACACTGAAACTAAAAATCATTGCTGGAAGAAATTAAACAACACATACATACATAAATGGAGAGTCTATGTTAATGGATTAGCAGATTTAATATTGTTAAGATGTTAATACTACCCAAAGCAACAATTCTTATCAAAATCCCAATGCGTTTTTTTTTGCAGAAACAGAAAACTCCATCCTAAAATTCCTATGTAATCTCAAGGGACCCCAAATAACCAAAACATTCTTGAAAAATAACAATGGCAAAGGTCTCATACTTCCTGATTTATAAAATTACTAAAATCTATGGTAATCAAAGCAACGTAATACTGGCATAAAGAGAGATGCATAGACCAATGGAGTAAAGAGCCCAGAAATAATCCCTTACAAGGTCAAATTATTTTCCACAAGGGTGCTAAAACCATTCAATGAGGAAAAAATAGTCTTTTTAGCTAATACTGTTGGAAAAATTGTGTTCCCATATGCAAAAGAATGAAGATGGACTCTTATCTTAGAGCGTATACACAATTAACTCAAAATGGATCAAAGACTTAAATGCAAGAGCTGGAAGAAATATATAAGAACAGATTTACTCGATTTGGCAATGATTTCTTGGATATGCCACCAAAGGCATAGACAACAGGAGAAAGAATAAGTTGGACTTCATAAAAATTAAGAGGTTTTATGCATTAAAGAACACTATCAACAGTGAAAAGAAACCCATGGAACAAAAGAAAATATTTTCAAATCATACAATATTATCTGGTAAGCAACTGATATCAAGAACATATAAAGTTCTCCTAACAATTCAACAACAATAAAATAATCTGATTAAACAATGGGCAAAAGACTTAAATAGATGTTACTCCAAGGAAGATACACAAATGCCAACAAGCACATGAGAAGCTGTTCAACATCACTTAACATTAGGAAAATGCAAATCAAAAGCACAACGAAACGTCACACCCATGAGAATAGTTATTATAAAAACAAACAAATAAGCAAACAAAAACACCAGAAAATTATATCTGTTGGAGTGGATGTGACAATTATTAGAATCCTTATAACACTGCTTGTAGGAATGTAAAAGGGCAGTTACTGTTCTAGTCTAGAAAATGGTATGGTGATTCCACAAAAAATTAGAATTACCATATGAGCCAGTAATTCCATTTCTGAGAATATGTCCAGAAGAAGGTAAAGCAAGGCTCAAATATTTTTGTATTCATGTTCATAGAAATATTATTCATGACGCAACTCAAGCGTTTGTTCATAGACGAGTGGATAAACAATATGTGGCATAGACATACAACAGAATATTGCCAAGCCTTACAAAAGAAATTCTAACACATGCTACAATATGGGTGAACACTGAAGACATTCTGATTAATAACATAAGCCAATTACAAAAAGAGAAATATTGTATTATTCCATTTATAGGAGGTATTTGGAGTAGTCAAATTAATAAAAACAGAAAGTACAATGGTGGTGGCCATGTGCAGGAGTAAGCGTGGGTATAGGGAATTAGTGTTTAATGGGTACAGAGTGTTTCATTTGGAGAAGATAAAAAAGTTCTGGATATGACTGTATAATGATGTGAATACACTTAATGCCACAACTATATAGTTAAAATGTTTAAAATGATAAATTTTATGTTATATATATTTTACCAAAATAAAAAAAAAAATTCCACCAAGTCTTTAATTTTGAGGATGTTTCCCCAATCTTATATAATGTGCAATGCAAGTGTAGTTATAAGCTTCTTTATCCAAACAGACTGAAACCCTAAGACATAACTTATCAGCACTGTCCACTAGAAATAAAACATAAGCTATATATACGATTTTAAATATTCTAATTCTAATACCCACATTAAAAAAACAAGAGAAATTAATTTCAATATTTTACTTAACTCAATATATCAAAAATATTATCAAATGTATTGATATAAAATATTAGAATATTTTATTTTCTTTTTTGTACTAATATATTTATATATCTCAGTTTGGATTAGTCATATTTTCAGTGCTCAATAAACATATGAGAGTAGTTGTTATCTTAATAGAATAGAACCTCTGCTGGTAGAGTGGTGTGGTTTTTTGGAGGAAAGAATTTTACAGTTAAGCAAAGACTTGACGACAAAGAAGTCAGGTTAGAAAATAGGACGGTGTTTAAAGGGATCCATTTAACTTTGTAAATTCTCCCTTAGACCATAGGAAAGCACATCGCTGTTATTTAATTTTATAAAATTTTTGTTTTTAAATTGCTTCCTTTTATTATTTTAATCCAGTAGTTCTCAACCTGGGATATTTCTCCTGCCCTAGGAGGGCAAGGAATTGGTGGAGGAGTTTGATTTTCACAATAATTAGGTGGAATACCAGATTTTAGTTCCCTACAACCAGGGATGCTAAATGTGATATAAGGCATGAAACAATTCCATAGAAAAAAGATTTATTCTACTCCAAATACTAAAGGCTTACCCACTGGAAAATCTTTCAATAAAGTATGATGTACCTCCCCACAGCCTTGTGTGATGGAATCCTGGAGAATGGTGGACCTGCCAGACATTTACACTTCTGCTGCCACACATGCAGACTAAACAGCATTTTATTAAGGGGACTAGGTCCAAAAATTCTTGAAAATAACCAGCA